TTTTCCTGGGGGGACCTTATAGCAAGAGGCTAATTGTGGAGAAGGGTTAGAGCAGGGGTGTCCAAATGGTAGATCCCCCAATTTTTTAAAACTACAGCTTCCATGATGCTTTGTCTTTCTAAAGGCATGCAAAGCACCATGGGAGTTGTAGTTCTACAACATCTGGAGATCAACATTTTGGGCGCCCCTGGGTTAGCGTAAACCTATAAGTAAAGTAAATATGTGGATGTTATTTGTCTAGCATGGCAGTGTTAAGATGGGCTGAATTTCAGGCATGATTGTATAAAACTGGGAGTGTACTTTGGAACATGGAACTGTGTGTGAATGTGGGGAAGTATGTGTGTATTGTGCCAGTAGATATGAATTTGTGTAAAGTAGCAGTGTGTAAATGTGGGGATGTATTTGAACAGCAAGTAGAAAAGTGTGTATTTTTGTGTTGTCTCAATATGTGTGTACTGTAAATAGTTTGAATGTAGTAGTGTGTTATTTTTATGAGGTCTTTGTGTATGTTCATATATTTTTCCACCCAATTCTCTCTATCTCCCCTACCCCTTCATTTAGCCTCTCTTCCCTCCATAATCAGACTCAATCCTTAGTTATCTCCATGCTATGTCACTCCCATTTTCAACTTATTTTCTTTGTCTGTCTTATACACACCACTACTTTCTCACTTCAGCTAAACTTTAAAAAAAAAAAAAATATTTAAAATTTTCCATATATAATTTATTCTTTTATTTTTTTCTCTTGTGGTCCTACCTCAGGCTTTTGGTAGCTTGTCTCAGCTCCCTTTATGAGGAGCTAGCTGGTCACTCCTACAGTCCTCTTCAACAATGAGGCCACGCTGCATGGGTATGGTGTGTGGGAGACAAGGGCGGAGATATGATGTGACTTTATATCTCCTCCCCTTTCAAACACCAGGAAAGACACAGTAAGATCAGCATAGGGAGAAAGGCTCCATATTTAATATTATAGGCTCTGCCATGCTTCAAGCAGTTACCACTAGTGCTAGTGAGCAGGATTGTAATTAGCTGACTTCCCCAGCTGGTTAAACATGGGCAGACCTTCAAAAGTCTCAGGCCCAATTTTCCAAGTGCTCAGTCTGCCCATGTGTGCGAGCTGTGACAGCTCCCTGGTGCCCCTGTTGCTTTGGCGCCCTGTGCTCTGCACAAGTCGCACAACCCAAAGGCTGGCCCTGCAGACAGGAAACAGATGTCAAAGTTAGGGCTCTGGTGTTACTTAAAGACTCCAACCACCATGCCCACTTCTGCTTTTTGATGTAGTCATGGTGGTAGGAGTCTGGATGTGCAGCGCTTCAGCATGTAACACTGCACATCCAGGGTAATTTTAATTCTGTGCCGGGGGCTAGTTACACCCCTTGCGTACGTGATTTAGGCAGCCTGGAACTCTGTTTTAGGTTAATTAATGCCAACTCTGTGCATATTTTCTGTCTGTTTATAGTGCACACTGCGCGTCAGTGACAGACGTGATCTGCTTCCCTGCTTTTCTCCCTCCCACCATTTTTGGCACCAGCCCTCCCCATCCATTTGCTGGGATGTGCTCTGAGTCAGCTAAATGGTTCATTCAAAAAAAAATCTCTATAAGAAGCCTTTAACTGACATCACAAGGGGATCGTCTCCTGACTTGATTAAGGTAAATAAAAACTTAATTTAAAAAGTTTTAGGTAGGTCACCTTAAGAATTATGCCCAATAGGGCATTATTTAAACAGGACAAATGGTGAGAGTAACCCTTTAATAATGATAATCATGCCAATAAAGAAAAAAAAAAAACAATTTACAGTTTAAAATATGCACTGTGGTTTAAAATGAAAAAGGGTCACTTCCAGCAACAAAACAACAACATTTCATTAGTAATAATTCGATTTAAAAGGACACTCAGCGCCAAACCACCTTCAGCTTAACCCCTTAAGGACACATGACCGAAATATTCCGTCATGATTCCCTTTTATTTCTAAAGTTGTGTCCTTAACATGGTTTTGGTGTATAGTTCGTGACTTTGCAGTTTCACTACTCAAATTTCTGCCATTTAGGAGTCAAACCGCTTTATTTATGCAGCTTTAGCCACACCTTCCTTGACTTACATGGTCTCTCAACACATTTCCTGAAAAAGCGTATGTTGTACTCTAATTGCCTGTTCTGTTAAATATCTGCTGGAGCCTGCAAAAGCTTCATGTGAGTGATTAAAAGTCTGTTAACAGAAAAGGAGATAAGAACTTCCAAAATAAATAATACATGGGTTACCCACTAAGGTGAAATTCAAAGTGAACTTAAAATTTAAAGCCAAAGTAACTTAACTGAAAATGTAGAATAGAACTTTTCCAGTTCAACTATTTCAACCTTACATTTGTAATTCGTTTAGAATACTCACTTTACTGAATAACTATGACTGTGTTGTAAATAATATTTGACTACCAGATCGTTTTATATGGTAGGTATCAAGTCTTTAACTGGTATCCCGTCTAGGGCCACATTAAATAACCTGTTTAGTTCAAACATTTGTAAAGTACATTTTGGGGTAACCTCCAAGAATAGTACATGCATGAGTGATGGTGGTGTGGATTGACAACAAGATGTTTACAATATCTGTACTATATATGAAAAAATCTCAACATAAACAAAATGTGAACCTCCTTTAAAAATATTAGTATTTATATCAATAGCATTTGAATACTGCATGAATTATATCTGTTTTGTGGCCTTGAGTTCACTAGTGGGTTATAGGTGTCTTAGGCAAATACAAATTTTCATACCCCCTGATAAACAACTACAGATAAAATTATTCTGTGTACTTTTCCTAATTGCATCATAACATAATATTTTCTACTTATCTAAAAACAGTGTCAAGAAAGGATATTCCAGTGACAGCAGTAAAAAAAAACAAAAAAACAACATAGTTTAGTTTAAAGGGACACTATAGTCACCAGAACAACTACAGCTTATTGAATTTGTTCTGGTGAGTAGAATCATTACCTTCAGGCTTTTTGCTTTAAACGCTGTCTTTTCAGAGAAAATGCAGTGTTTACATTACAGCCTAGTGATAACTTCAATGGCCACTCCTCAGATAGCTGTTAGAGATCCTTCCTGGGTCATGGCTGCCTAAAATGCATCCAAACATTCAGTGTCTCCTCCCTCTGCATGCAGACACTGAACTTTCCTCATAGAGATTCATTGATTCAATTCATCTCTGTGAGGAGATGCTGATTGGCCAGGGCTGTGTTTGAATCATGCTGGCTCTGCCCCTGATCTGCCTCCTTGTCAGTCTCAGCCAATCCTATGGAGAAGCACTGTGATTGGATCAGGCCACCACTTATGATGATGATGATGTCAGCTGACTGCTTGGTTTGTTTTTTTTTTTTTTAGGCAAACAGCATGCAGAGTTACAGCTTCTGGCTTGAATACAGTAAGATGTTGCTATATTTTTATGGAGGCATAAGGGGCCCAGAGGGGCTAGATGGTGGTTTTAACACTATAGGGTCAAGAATACATGTTTGTGTTCCTGACCCTATAGTGATCATTTAAAGTTATATAATATTTTTGGATAAACGTTTAAAATATTTTTTAAAATATAGAAATATCAAAAAATATATATAATGTATAAAACAGACATCACTATATAACAATATTAATGGACCACTATAGGCACCCAGACCACTTCAGCTTAATGAAGTGGTCTGGGTGCCAGGTCCCTCTAGGATTAACCCTTTCTGTATGTTTACAAATGGGTTAATCTAGCCTCTAGTGGCTCTCTCATTGACAGCCGCTAGAGGCGCTTCCGGGCTTCTCACAGTGAGAAGACGGCAGCGTCCATAGGAAAGCATTGAGAATACTTTCCTATGAGACTGGCTGAATGCATGCGCATTCAGCCGATGACAGGAAAGGAGGAGGAGAGTCCCCAGCGCTGAGGGAGCCCGGCTCTTTAAAAAAATATAAGGGATTAACTCCTTCCTCACCCTAAAGCCAGGCAGGAGGGGGACCCAGAGGGTGAGGGGGACCCAAGGACCCTATAGAGCCAGGAAAATGAGTACTGTATTTCCTGGCGTATAAGATTACTTTTTAACCCTGGAAAATCTTCTCCAAAGTCGGGGGTCGTCTTATACGCCGGGTATAGGGTCTATATGGCTGCCGGGGGCGGCCTGTGCCCCCATCGCCGGCCCTTCTAATGCTGCAGCCGCCTGAGCGCTCTATAGAGAGCGCTCAGACGGCTGCCGCACTGCCTCTCTTCTCACCTCCCCTTCCCTGTGCAGAGTGGGTGGCCGAGCTCCTCTTCGTCCTGTCAGCCTGAGTGCTCACTTCCTTTCAGTCCGGCCGGGAACAGGTAACAATCTCCTGTACCGCCGGACTGACAGGACGAAGAGGAGCTCGGCCAACCACTCTGCACAGGGAAGGGGAGGTGAGAAGAATGTAGGGAGGATTGGGGGGGGAGTAAAAAGAATATATCGCAATAAGCCTACTGTGTGCTAGACCAGCAGGCATGGATTATGTGCCCAAACAGCCTGGCACATACCTGGGCTTTAAATGCTATTTCAGATCATTATTTAATGTCTTGCTGTGTAGCTCTGTCTGCTCACTGTACATCATGGCTAATTTTTATTTGGTGTGCATTCGAAGAGGGGTAGTCTTATACGGCAAGTATATCCCAAACTCTATATTTTAACTGGAAAAGTTGGGGGTCGTCTTATACGCCCAGTCGTCTTATACGCCAGAAAATACGGTATGTTTTCCTGGCACTATAGTGGTCCTTTAAAATATTTTTCAAAATATGAAATCATTTGAAATACTTAGTCATAAATATTAAATCAACGCCTACGCAAAAAAGATTTTTTTTTATTATGTGTTTTGTTTATTAGTAAAGTTATTTTTGCAAACACATGCTAGATTTTTCAAACAAAAAACAGGTGCTATTCTGGCTGCAAAATTCTAAATGTTGAGAAACCTTTTATTGGTTGCTATGGTGATGAGTAGTGATGCCGCGAACGGATCGCCGCCAACTCCTGTCAGCTGACACATCCCTGCCAATCTCCGGCAGACCCTCCCTCTCAGACCCTCCTACTTCCTGGACAGCATCCATGTTGAAGGCAGCTTCAACAGGGTCTGCCGGAGATTGGCAGGGATGTGTCAGCTGACCGGAGTTCGCCACGAACGGTTCGTGGCGAACCGCGGGGATCCGTTCGTGGCAAGTTTGCAGTAGTGAAAAAGTTTCAAGTATAAAATGAGCGTCCTTTGCGCTATAATCTTCAGGCCTCAGATAAAGATATCCAAACATAGTGGTTGTCACCCTAGCCAATCTTGTGGTTCTTAAACAGACCAGACTTAAAGGGACACTCCAGGCACCAAACCAACTTAGTCTAAAAGTTGTAATGGTGCCAGTAGGCCCCTCGGGGCACTTTTACCTCAAGGGCTTTAACTGTTCTTGAACAGTTTAACCCCAAAGTTGCCTTCAGCAGTGATGTCCAGTCCTGCCAGACAGCATCCAAGACAGTTTGGTGAATGGGGAGTCACTGATTGGCTGAGAGCATCAGCTGACCGCTCTCCGTCAATCAGCAGCACCTCTGTTCATCAGCACTCCGCACTTCCTGAATCTGAAAATTCAGAAGCCGGATGTTGCGTGCGGGGGGAGTGGTCATCGCCGCTGGAGGCAAGTTTGGAGTTAAACCATTCAAGAACGATTGAACACCTTGAGGCAAGAGTGCCCTCAGAGGTTTCCTGGCACCATAACAACTTCATTAAAATTAAGTTGTGTTGGTGCCTGAAATGTCCCTTAAAATTAGTCTACATGTCTACACCCCTATTGTGTATTGTGCATTAATGTATTTGACTATCCACTAGACAGTGTTTATTCACTATACACAGACAGAATTGTTCACCGAAACCTAAATAGTGAGTTAAGAAAAATCGCCATAGTCAATTAAAATTGTAGGAGTAAATTAAGTAAAATGTAGGCTAAAATATCCAATCTGTGACTATAATTGAGTTGGAGAATGTTTTCAGATCAGCTATTTGTGCCTACATGTTGTAATTTGTATTTCAATTCACTGCACTTTTCAGCTTAGTGAATAAATCCCTAAGTGTAAACTGACTAGAATTCAAAGCGAATTTCAAAATGTTAGAGCTAAGTATGTGAAATGTAAAAACTGTTCAAGTCAGCTATGTATTTATTTTGACTATTTTGGTTTAAAGCCCGAAATTCACTTTATTTTTTACACTTTTGAATCACCATGAGAATTGCAGTGAATTGAAGAGAAAAGAGCAAAATATGGGCAAATATATCTGCTGAGAAAAAAAAAAAACTCCAACTATAGTCAAGTTCGCTATTTACCCACAATTTAGCAATTCACTGCAGTTCAATGTCTACGAAATAAATCCCACTGTTTCTCTATTGCGTTTCAATTTACCTTTCATAGGTAGACTGGATAATGAGGGGGTATGATGATAATGATTGCAGACAGACGAATGGACAGATATTATTTCCTGGTAAAATATTTTATCAATAAATGAATATTATAAAAGTACATAGTACAGTCCACATAATGGTGCAGTTAAAATGATAATGTTATACATGCTTGCATAGTTGTAGGTTAAAGTTTGTCAGCTGTTAGCATATACTAATAGAGTTCTTGCATTCATAACAAGTGACTTTTATGGCTTTTGCACATTGGACTCCTAGTTACACTATGTGCCTGGTAGCCCTCACTGACTCTTTAGTTAGCCATGAAACTGCACCCTCTTAGTGAATTATCATTCAATTTCTTAACACTAGGCAGAATACAGTACATTACAGTGATTTTTACACACATTCACTCATGGAAATACAGGAATCTAATAAGGAAACCAGGTACACAGCATTGAAAACACCTACTCAGTAAACTCCCTTCATAATCCAATTAATTAGATGATAGTTAATGCATTGTCTAACACGTATGCATTACCACCCATTTTTTCAATATTAAAAAAATAAAAACGAATACATCGCCTAAACAGATATCAATATATCAAAATATGTTGTTTACTTACCTTGTCTTCTACGAATCTGTAATGTTATGCCTTTGTTGGTAACTTGCAAAAAAGAAAGATATTTTCCAGAAATGAAATAAATTAATTAGAGAGCAGTGCCGAAAAGGAAGATCTTTAAAAGGACCCCTGCCTCCTAGACTAGCGAACAAGTGTCATTCAAACTGTCTCTCCTCTTATTCAGATCAAGGAGGATGTCGTACCGTAAACAGTGCTTCTTCAGAGCGCTGTTTTAGACTCAGTCCTGAGAGTGATGCTGCACAGAATCCTGTGCTCGGTATACAGTAACAATGACAGATGCCTGATATATCTCAGTGTTCTGTCACTCTCTGCAGCCTGCCCAATGACTGGGTGTGATGATAGGGGATATTTCCACTCCTTCTCACGTTCTTCTTCGTTAGCCTCAGGCAGGACGAGATCGGTGTCAGTTTTTGAGGTCTTGTAACTTCGGACAAATGCTCAGTACTGGCTCCTCCTCCTGCTCCTGCTCTGCATGCAGTGACTGAAAAAAAAAAAAAACCTATGAAAAAGAAAACAATTCCCCTGTGCTCTGATCAGGAAATCTTTTAGAAACTAGCCAAGTTACCGTTCTATTTTAGGTGTTTACAGTGAAATTGTCATTTTAATCAGGTGAATTTGTTTTTCAACAAAGAATGCATAGCTTTCACACGAAACCAGCCGTGTAAAGCTTGATATTCAGAGATACCTCAAAATTACATAAGATGTGTTTTCATTTTTAGTACTTGTGGTTTTTTTTGTTTTTGTTTTTTTTTAAATATATCTTCCTTTGCACAATTAGTGTGTTTTTAATGTCTGAGAGACTGTACTGTTTCTCGAGGTATCCAAAGTGTTCTGAAAAAAATGCAACAATGACAAATGTAATTTTTGTAATATACCACAAATATCACCGTTTAACATGCCACTGGTTGGAGAGTAAAGTATGAATTACATGTACAAATATCCATCTAATAGGTATTTATAAGGTTCTCACTTTAACATACTGAAAAAGGTATGTCTTGTTAAACATTATTCAGATTGAACCATACACTGTTGAAGGCAGGCACATTTATTTATTTATAAAATATTTTACCAGGAAGGATACATTGAGATTTCTCTCGTTTTCAAGTATGTCCTGGGTCCACAAATCATTGCATTGTTACAATTACGGTACAATAAAGTACAAAAACAATATTAATACACAATAAATACAATATTTAACATAGAACAGGCAGGAAATATATAATCAACCATTACAGGTGCATTCTGTTTTTAGGTATGTAGAGAGGGATCTCTTAAAGGACTTTAGGCTTAGGGAAGATTTTAAATTGTGCGGGAGGTCGTTCCACAATTGCGGCGCTCTGTAGGAGAAGGAGGATCGGGTTGCTTTCTTTTTGTATTGAGGTAGACTAAGTAAAGTGTTGGTACTGGATCGGAAGTTATAGGAAGTGGGAACAGCTGAGGAAAGCATTGTGTTCAGGTAGGGTGGGAGTTTCCCTGAAAAGCTCTTAAACACAAGGCTGGAAAGATGAAGGGTGCGTCTGGATTCCAGCGACAGCCAGTTTAGTTCTTTTAGCATGTCACAATGGTGAGTCCTGTAATTACATTGTAGCACAAATTAGCAGAATGAGTTATACAATGTGTTGCGTTTATTAATGTGGGATTGCAATGCAGATGCATATACTACATCCCCAGAATCAATGATTGGCATCAGCAATTGCAGTACAATCTTTTCCTTTACTGTAGGGCTTAGGCAGGATTTGTTTCTGTACAGGGCACCTAGTTTTGGATAAAGTTTAGATGCAAGCTTTTCTATGTGCAGGCCAAAAGATAGATTGGGGTTTAACATCATACCCAAGTATTTGAAAGAGTGGACTGCGGTCAGTGTGCCATTTGAATTTGTTTTGATGGATAGGTGGGAATTGTGTAATTTGTGTAATTTAGGTACTGTTCCAAAGATCATTGTGACAGTTTTGTCAGTGTTCAGGAAGAGTTTGTTTTTTGCGATCTACTTTTCTACCTCTGTAAACTGGTCTTGGAGCACAGCCTCAAGCTGCGGTAGATCGGAATTGCTCGCATAGATTACTGTGTCATCTGCGTACATGTGTACATTTTGAGGATTTGCAGACATTAGGCAGATCATTTATAAATAATGTAAATAGTAGTGGGCCGAGAATGGAACCTTGGGGAACACCACACGTGACTGAGAGAGGGAGGGAATCGCTGTCAGAAATGGACACATATTGCGAGTGATCTGATACATACGATCGAAACCAGTTTAGCGAACGATCACCAATACCTGAGTTTTTGAGTTTGTGCAGTAGAATATCGTGGTCTACTATGTCAAAGGCCTTAGCAAAATCAAGGAAAATAGCTCCAGTTAGGTCTCCTTGTTCCATGCCAGTTTGGATGCCATTGCAAACTTTTAAGAGGGCAGTTGTAGTGGAGTGATTCTGGCGAAAGCCCGATTGATCATGGGTCAGATAGTTTGATTGTTGGTAGTACTCACATAGTTGCGTATGGACACATTTTTCTAAGATTTTTGACAATACCGGGAGCAATGATATTGGGCGATAGTTAGAAACCAAAGTAGTGTCACCACTTTTATGGATAGGCACTACTCTCGCAGTCTTCCAAAGTTTGGGTATGTATCCAGACACCAAGGATTCGTTAATTAGAGTTGCGACGAGTTTAGTAATTGCCGGCGCACTGAGCTTCAACAGCATTGCTGGGATTTGATCAGGTCCGGACTGGTTTTTCATTTTTAGATTATTAAGATGTTTTTCAATGACACTAACAGGTACAGGTCTAAAAATGAACTTGTCTATATTGGGACTTTTAGTGAAATGTAGTGGGATCTGATCCACATTTGTAGTTTCAGGATGTGTGTCATTTATTAGCTTGGCAATTAGGGCAGTAGAGCATCCGACAAAATAATTGTTAAAGGCATTGCTACATCTAAGGGAAGTTGCAGGGTTTGGTTATCCACTTTGACAGTGGAGGGTTGGGAGTGGAATGGGGGAGTTTGTAGTTTATTTATGACTTTCCACATCATTTACATACTGTGGTTAGAACTCTTATTAAATACTAGCAATGCAAAAACAAAACGGGGTTAGTTGTGC